TGAAGAAAAACTTTAATATAAGTTTAACATAACAGCAAATGTACAACGTACGTAACGTTGTACATTTGCTGTTATGTTAAACTTATATTAAAGTTTTTCTTCATTAACCATTCAAGCTGTCTCCAACCATTATTAGTCTCAAAGTGGGTTCCTCGTCATCGAATGTGAATCTACTTTCTATTGACAGCAGACCGTCCCTCTCATGAACAAGAAGCTAAATGATTGTAGGGCAACAGTATCAAATCTCGGAGCATCAGGAAGTCTGGTCATGGGCACATGATATATAATACTGTCGCCTTGGCCTGATAAGTAAACTGCTAGAGGTGATCCTAAAGACAGAAACTTGTCCACATGTTATCATATAAACATCTTGTGTACTTAGTGGTTGTCTATACTGGTCGTAGATCGTTCACGACTCATACTGCTGGCATATACGCACGTACTAATGACAAATTTAAAGAATGACATTTCTTTTTTTTTTGCTCTGTCTGTAAAACAAAAAGATTAGTCCTAATTTTCAGTCACTTTTGATCTCTGTGAAATCTCGTATTGTTAGCTGAGCGTAATTACAGTCTCGAGTGTTTATTCGATATAGACTAAATCTTATACTAATATAAAAGTTTCTAAAACATCAAACTTGGTTAAACCCTGTATTATTAGACGCGGCAATGCGGATCATAGAACGGCACTGAATTTGTTTTTTTTTCTTTTTTTTTCAGGCACAAACTTTTAGCTCATAGCTCTGTCATCTCTTGACCGATTTGAGATCTAATTACAGTTTTGTACTCTGGAGGTCAAACCCTTTCGATTGACATATTTGAGCACGCCAAAGGTCTCATGTATTAATTTACTCTAATCCTGCCTAAAAGAATTTCAATTTGAGGGTAGGCTAGCAGAAATCCTGATGAGTAATAAAATCGAATCGGGTATACACGCGCCCCACGCTTGGTATTGCTGGGGCACAAAAATATAGCTAATGTTTGTTTGTTTTTTGAATATCGCGCAAAGCTACACGAGGGCTATCTACACTAGCCGTCCCTAATTTAGCAGTGTAAGACTAGAGGGAAGG